ACGTCATCTATTTTTCCTCGGCTGAATCGAGGTAATAACGCATCAAGAAGTATTTTGACAAGGTCTCAATACTCGTGTGCAGTAAAAATATTGATAAAGTTTACGTGTCGATTTATGGTACAAAAACACCTGTTGACGCAACAAAGTTGACTTCAGAATCGCGATAGAAAAGTAATCTCGTGCGCCTCCTTTGCTCTCGGCAAGTAGTTTCAATTGCAAAAAACATTCGTTGGGGCATTGTAATCGGGTCGGCGCGTAGGATTGCTGGGATTCCGCTCGATAAACACGCGTCGCAACATAAATTACTGAAAAGTAACCGAACGCAGCGTCGCGCGTCTCCCGCAAGCGAATGCAGATTCGGCGACGCAGCGTCGGCAGCAGAGCGAGCCTAAAGTCGCCTTTAATTAGGGCAGCGGCACCTCCTAAACATTCGCTTAATTGAGAGCGCGCGTGTTTCGCGCGAATTGAGACATCTGTTCGAGACGAGGAGCAGCGGCGACGGCGGCGGCAGCGGCGGCAGCAGCTTGTTTCCCCTTTCTATCAAAAATCGAAAGTGGCCGTGCACGCGAGCGCGCGCCCGTTCGCTCGTTTTTTTGTCGATTTGAATACGTTGAATAAACATGCAGCGCGCGCCAGCCGGAAATGACGCTGCGCGAAATAGGAGAATCCGCGGCGAGAAAAACGCCCGAGTGATATCGATCTTCGGATGTCCTGGCTGTCCGCTGCTAATTAGGATATACTCGGGCGTTCTTTCTCTTTTTGTTGGTCTTCGCAAGGTGAGCATTTGCCTCGCGTGTGTACACGCTGTGACACTAACTCGACATATGTAGCGTGTCTCTGTTTGAATCACGAAGAAACCGACTTTTGGGCAACGCAACGCTGAAATATTTACTTATTGTTTTACCAAACGTACGCGAAGCGTTCGATGCTCTTCGAGTATGTAACCTGTCACGATGGTTGCTCGACAGAGCCCTAATTCCATGAAGCGTCATTGAGGTATACGCGAAAACCAATGAAAGCCCCATTAAAAAGATGCGAAGCAAGGCGCTTGGTTATTACCGTGCAATGCCGAAGAAAAAGACAAGGAAATTCTCTACAAGCATCGCAAACCAAACGAACACGATCCGATCGGCGGCTAAAGGGTAATTATTCGCGAGAGAATGCAGCGCACGCAGCCTCTATATACCGCGATCCGTTAGCAAGATCCAATATCGAGTCTCACCCGAGATTAAGTAGCGATTTAGCGATTTACATGGGGGAGGGAATGGGGGGGGGGGATATAAGCGTCGATATTTACCGTTAACGTCGCATGGCTACAGCGCGTGCCTCTCTTGCAGCTTCTACGTATGCATGTACCAAAAGGAGAGGTTTGACCTATAAACTCCACTCCACTCGCCGCGTGCCGGCAAAGCCTTCGCTGCGTTTTGTTTACGTACGCGCGCCGCTTCAATTTTTCGCGTGTGCGCATTTAAATTTCATACTCGTCGATGCGCTGATCATTAATCGCCTGGAATACAGCTGAGCGATTTACCCGCTGTCCCAAGTCATTTGTTTTGCCATGACTGAAACTCGATCTGCTCACAAAAATGTATAAAGCTTGCTCTTGGATTTTCCTCGGATTCCTAAGTTTTCGCGCGCCTCCGAGCAGAGCTGCGCCGCGCGTACATCGCAATATTCTCAAATTGGCACGTCGATACCGAATTTTTTTTTTACGGCAATCGTGTCGGCACTACGAATTTTGAATAGTTCTCGCGGTGCTGAAAATTATCGGCGGCCAAACGGATTCCTCGAAAGTGCCGAGCGAACGGCCGCACGATCCGTAAAATTTATTAAAATCGTCCGTCGGCGGTGTTGCATTTTTGTTTATGTCGCTTGTGCGCAGCGACGACGACCTCCGGGAAACTGAGACGACAAAGTCGAGCGCGGATCACACGCGGTCGTAAATCAGGGCAAACGTCAAAGCGCACTTATAAGTTCCATAGAGAGGCACAAAGAAAAATACACGAACGTTGCACACAATAATAACTTATGCAAGCGCGCCCTCTTTATCTCTTCTCCTACAGGACGACGATATTTACGGATATCAGTCTTGCACGCGTTCTCTCTCTCTCTCGAGCTGCATATAGCGGTAGGGGAGCCGTGCTGCGAGGAGACGCGCGGCAATTGTTTTACGAGGCGTAGCCTCCAGATAGATAAGCTCGTGCGGCGCATTATGCGCTCCGTTACGTACGCGTAACTTGGCTTTTGAGTAATTGTTGTTTAGCAGATGAACGATTAGTTGCTTGGTCGGTGTAATGGCCGTTGTAGCCGATTTTTCACTCCTGCTGTAGAGATGATGGCCACGGACTAGCCGCGATCGGGCATTGTTCGGCGACTTTCCGTCTAGTCGTCGCTCAAGTAGAACTCGAGAACGCAACGCATTCCAAGGTGCGACTTTCGACAAACATTTCCGCAAACCAGTTGGCCACGTTCTCGTGCGCGCCACAATTGTTGCGCATTCGACACTTTATTCGTAATTTCCCCACGTTGCACGGTCGCGAAAAAAAAGGAAAGAAAAGAAATGATAGGCGCCTGTTTGCCGAGTGATAAATTTCAATTATATCTCGCGTGCGGTTGGAATTCCGGTATTGTACGGACGCATGTATTGCTCGCGCCGAAGTGCAAGCGCGATCAATCCCCCTCCCCCCTCCGTCGAGCGCGCTCGCGAACGTTGGGAATGTGCCGATGGACCCCTACAGTGTCACTACGTAGTACACACTTTCACTGTACATTGCCATTTTATACATATATATATGTTTTCTCTTGCAATTATCAAGATACGGTCATGACTATTGTCGGAGTTTAGCGGAGTGAGTGCAGAGGGCTAAGCTTTTGAAAAGCTAAGTCTTTTAGCGAATTATGAAGTTTGAAAGCACACGAAACGGAAGGCGAACTAGAGCGTCGACTGTAAATGTGCATTATTCAGATGCATATTTTTAAGAAAGTCGACCTAATCAAACCAAGTAAAACTATCAATTTTGGAACGATTCTGGCAAAGAAAGTGACGAAATAGGCCTCGCTTGATCCAGCTCGCCCCATCCCATCGACCGAAAATTGCACCTCAAGACAAGTAAATGCCCTCTTCTGCTTGTGAAAAAGGGTAGCCGAGAGAGATGCTGCCTACGTGACACGCTGACGGCAGGTGCGCGTTAGTCCGTGACGCATGACAAACTACCGATCGGGAATGGGATGAACGCGCGCTTTGCAGACGAGAGATAGGTCGCCCGCGCGTTATATACACACCTCTTTTTGTGCGTCTCATTCTTAGACCCAAACTGAGTCTCCTCTCCCGATTCACGGTTATAAGCGGAGCGAGTTTATTTCGAGACTCGCGAAGGCAACTTCTTCGTCTTTTTTTTTTCTTTTTTCAAATAGACTACCAGTACCTTCGATCGATTTGCTGTTTCCATTTCCTGAGAGCAAGCGATTTGTCTGACGCGCGGACCTTGTGTTATGTCTATCCTCTTTGTCGCCGAGCGAGTTATTGATAGCCTGGCGGTACTCCGATTGTCAGTAAATCATAACGCGATCGTGTTATTCTTGTGGAAAAGACGCCATAGGCACACTCGGCTCTCGACGATGCTCACTGCTAAGGTGATACGTTGACGAGCACGAAGAAAACTTGAGTACGAAGCAAACAGACGTGCGAAGAAGCAAACAAACTGCGAGTGGGCTTAGGTTGCGCTGCTCGGCGGCCTTTCTCCCCATGACGATGACAAGCGCCAAACGAGGCGTGCTCGCGAGATTCCGCGAATGTCTTTGCGGCTAATAATTTGCAGTTGTGAATTCCCAGGCGGCAGTCGCCATTTATATTACGTTTGACGGACTAATTTACAACGGCTTGTCTTCTTCTTCTTCTTCTTCTTCTTCCTCGCCTGGTTATCTCTCGGTCGTGTGCTTCACGACGCGCGACGCGTGCACCCCTCGTTTTCTCGCTTTGAAGAATCGCCTCGTAATTGATGATTTTCTGCAAAGTTTAGCCTTGTCGAGTCTCGGATTTTTCGGCTAAACAGTGATTTACTTTGCTACTTGTACTACCAATTTTTCAGCCCCTCGAAGGGGGGAGATAGATTTTTTCTAAACGAAGTATATAAATAAATGTAATGCAACTTTGATGCATTTTGTACCAGCAAATGTGAAATTAAAATGACAAAACTCGCGTGAATTAAAATCTATACGTAATCTGCCTGTAAATCATAACTTCAGACGAATATAGTCTTATTTTCAGTGAAGAAATCTCCTGAGACGCATAAAAGGGAATCTAATAAGAGTCTGCTCACACATCTTGATTTATGCCTCATATCCTAGTTCAAGAGTGCGCATCACCTCCTCGCGGAGCACGAATAAATAATTCAGAGTCGCACCCCTCGAACAGTAGTTAAACCACATAAATTTCGAGAAACCTTCCCCTTCTCTTTGGCAGTGAAAGCCTCTCTTTACGACAGCACATGCAAAACGTGCCTCTTTCCTTCCTCCATCTTCTTTTTTTTCGTTAGTCTCGGCACATCAAAACGCTCGAGTGTCATTGTGCGTTGCGAGTATACGCGCGAACGTCCCATCGAGAAAGAGAGAGAGAGAGAGAGAGAGAGAGAGAGAGAGAGAGAGAGAGAGAGAGAGAGAGAGAGAGCTACTCGAGGCTGTACTTGATAGGTCCTTCTAGAGTTTTTCTAGCAGCTGTGCTCAAGTGCTTACTTTGGGTGGATAATGTTAACTCTGAACAAGTATGCGCTGACATATTTTATGGCTTCAAAATCAATGTACAAACTTCTAATACAAACATTTTTCTATTAGAAATAATTTTTAATACTCATACGGCCATTATTTTTTTTATCATGCTTCGCTACTATTTAGCATAAATATCATATTATATTCACAGAAATTATACAAAAATTTAATAAGTTACTCAACTTCAAATACTTCCAGTACAGTGTAGAATGAAGTATAAGTAATACGTGCATGCATGCACGAGCTGTTAAGAGGATTGTATTCTAATCTTATCTGTTTTATAACTTGAAACAAACTTTTAAAGATATTAACAACTCGCCAAGGAAATAAGTTTCATATTTGTATAGTAAATCAGAATAAAAATAGTATTTCATTATTAAAAACACTTTGCTTTACACAAAGTAGTCATATTATTATTTCCATTCTTTCTTTCAAAAATTCGGCCATCAAAATGTTCCATCGAATAGCATTTTTTATGTTTCTACATATAACACTTTGTAAGAAATTTATAATAAGATAATATATTTTATAAAAACTTGACATGCATCATCTGTTTTAACACAGTTCACACAATCTCCGAACAAAGTCCAATAATTGGTGAAACAGTTGAAGTGGAAAAAGACGAATTTCGAAAAGATTTTAGCTTCGTGGCATCTATAGGCGATTTGAGCATATTAGGAGTGCATAAAAAACGGGAGAGCCATCACTGTGGCGGCGTACTTATCACGAAAAGACACGTTTTAACCGCGTCACATTGTTTACGTCACCAGGAGATTCATAAAATCTTGGTTACATTGGGATCAACCGTTTTGAACTGTGGTCTTTCATACGAAGTGAAGTCATGGGTCAATTATACTAATTGGGCTAAGGAAAACAGAATAAATGTTACGGACTTAGACGCTTATGATGACATCGCTATCATAACGGTACTGTTATGAAAAATAAAATAAATACTCCATAAATTTTGGAAAAAAGTGCCAAGTAAAACTACATCATCATTTTAATTTCACAGTTATCTAGTGACGTAAATCATATTAAACCAGCTGTTATTTCAAAATTAAACGAAAGCCAAGTTATTGAACAACAACTCGTAACAGTTGGCTGGGGGCGAATTGATGATATAAATGAAACTAGACCAATGAAATTGCGAAAGTTATATTTAAATGTTTTGAATTCGACTAAGTGCGTTAAAATACATAGGCAAATATATAAATCATCGAATTTAACGCATATAAACAGCTATTGCACATATTCAGTCCCGTTGGCGTATATATACTATGTGAGTAATAATCAAATGAATTTCGTTTTAATATCAATTAAACGAATGATCTTACAGGGTGATAGTGGCACTCCCCTTTTGTTAGATAGTACTAAAGAAGTAGTTGGGATCAGCACTCATATTGTTATAAGAAGACGACTTGTGAAACTATTAAGTGTAACATCTGTGTATATTAAAGTTCAGGAATACGAACATTTTATAAACGATGTCGTGTCGCAGTGAAATGAAAATACGTCAGTTTATATAATGAATCATATATAATTCCATTAGTTTTATATGTGAATGAAATGACTATTAAAATGAAATTTACAAAATAAAATTACAAATATAGATTTTTATAAGCTGCTCATTTACCGTGCTTCTGCCAAGAATAGGAGGCATTCGGCAACTTTAAATATATTTCAAATATGATTTTGTTATTTGTTATTATTACTTTAAAAACAAAGTTCGTTTTGAACTCTGTAGAGATTCATAGGAACTTGTACGCATTAAGATTGGCTATAACGGTGACGTCACAAATAGGTCAGAATCCATTGCGAATATAAAGAGCTCATTGTTTTTCGACTGCAGTTTTAAATTCCAGACTATATAAAATCTCAAAACAGTAAAATTTGTTCGTAAAAAAAGATATTATTAATGTGAACAATTTGGTGATTAAAATTACATTTTTTACAGAGCTACATATAAACACATATTAAACTACTTGTAATTCAAAAAATAAATAATCATAAGATTATTAAGCAAGAAGTAATAACTGTTGATTGGGTACTTAGATAAAAAAAAAGAGTCAAGACTGAGAAAAATACAAAAGTATATATCCAACTTTGTTGAAAAAGACAGATTACAATATAGTCCATCTAACTCTCGAAATTATTCGATGCATCTATTATGGCATATCAAAGTTATAATGTATAAATGCAAATTTTTTGCACGAGTGATTGTTGGTTGCATGTGTAATAATTAAAATGCCTATATAATTTACGAAAACCTAAAGAATGGATGAAGTTTCAGGATGAAAGCAGTGAATCAATTTTTTTAATAGCCCTAAAGTATATTAGAGAACATTTTATTTCTACTATCTAACTTACAAATGAAATATTCACTAACTTGTGCATGTAGAAAAATTATTTTAGCAAAATTTAAGTCTGCTAAACAAAAAAAAAGGAAACCAACAAATGCAAACGCTTAGATAGAGCTGGTCGTTTGTCTTGCTCCTGACGAGGAAAGGAGGAATTAACGAGGAATTAATAGGGCCAAATCCTAATGACAAACGGCAGCGTCGCAAGCTCTAATTTGTCTAATTATTTGGCGCGCAGCGCTTATACGAAAATCTGCGCGAAACGATGCTAATTAATGAGTCGGCCATTAGCTCTCTCTCTCTCTCTCTCTCTCTCTCTCTCTCTCTCTCTCTCTCGGAAGGAAGGAAGAGGAAGATTGCCCGTAAATAAACCCGAGTTTCCGCCAAGTGACGCGAACGTATTAGAGGACAACGGAATTATTAATCGCGCACGGCAAGTGCCGCACGCTTTTGTGCTTTGCGCGCGAAAGCTCAAGTTTTCTCGGCGCAGCAGCTACTTTGAGATACTTGCAGCTGGGAATTATTCAAGCTGCACTCTCTCCCTGAGTCACGTTACAACTGTGAATCGTAATTTCATTTTTTTCATTCGTTTTATTTGAGATGAATTTTCTAGGAACGAGACAAGACAGCAAAAGTAGCCAGTCGTATAAGTCGAATGAACGTAAACGTCGAAATCAAAGGTTGATTTTCAATCGATTCGTAATTTGAACGGCTCGTAAATCAGCGAACATACATAAACAGAGTTGATGCCTGTGGAGGATCGAGCTCGTTAACAACTTCCTCCGTTTTTCACTCGCCAAAAGTCGAAGGAGGAGGAAGCGATCGTAAAACACTTCGCGGCGACGTTCGCTCTCTTTCCGTCTCTTTCAGCGGCTGACGCGACGCAATTATAAAACGCGCCTCCGAGCGATATAAAACTCTGAGCTTCAAGCCTCCGTTGAAATTTGAGTTCGGGATGAGGCAAACGAAAAAAATATCGAGGGAGAGTTTATTCTAAAATTGTGAGGTATGCGCTTTTAAACCTTTCGTTTTACTGTTAATTTAACTGCGTTCTTTGGATTTTACGGGCAGTCGCAGATGTTTGATTAGTTAATTTTATTCCTTTGAACTGACGTGCCACTTTTTTAAACGGCAACATCTGTTAATTACTTCGCAATTAGGAAAGAGTCATTTAATTTTACTGAACTTTGCAGAACCCAAGAAGAAAGCATTGTCACTATCCGTGAAATCGATGTAATCCAATTACTTGCCCAAACATACAAAATATTGCCTCATATGAGCAATAAATCTTCTCGTTACCCGTACTCCTAACACATGATTTCAGCTAAACCACTAATAATGACCGTAGCCACTTTCTCGCAGCAGCTCGAGAAAATTTATGCGCCTGCTGCTGTCCCCAAAAATAAACTTCCTACTCGACAAACGTGCTTACGACAAAGAAGAAGTCTTCTCTCTTACGGAAAATGTATCCCGAAAGCGCGGCTGATTAAAGAATCATGTATATATATATGTCGGTGACTGATTGACAGGAGCGCGTTGATGCTACGGAAAAGCATCGTCGTTGCTCTGACTGATACTATACGCTGCATCTTATACCACACGAGTGTTTGTTTCCTTTCGAGATTCTCTTTTCTTTTTTTTTTTCTTACACGACTTCTCGTCTGAGTGTTTTATTTTACATTTTCTCTCTCTCCCTTTCTCTTGAGAGGACGCTACAGAAAGTTGTTATTAATTATTTCAGACTGTCTGTAGAAGATTTGAAGTGTCACAGGTTTTCAACTGGAACGGAAAAATGTTGATAAGTTTTAAGTGATGTTGGAAAAGATATTATAAATAAGTGATCTGCTAAAGAAATTTTTTTTTAGGTGCATTAGTATTGTTAGCAATAATCCTGTCACTGTCACGCAACAATTTCTGGTATTTATCGCGAGTACTATTAATCTAAGTAGTTCCTCGATATCAAGTATAAAAATCATCGTGGAATTAGCTTAATTGTAAATTTTCCGAAACCCGCAAAAACCGATGCTGTGGCCCAATGCACACACAGACTTTAAAAAAGAATGATACACACACAAGAAATAGAGCGTGACACGGCATGGAGTGTTGGTACATAAGCCGGCAACGGATATGGAGGCGGCTTTTCTCTCAGCTGGCGCGTTCCATCACTCACGCGCAAATAACTCACTTCCCTACAGCCTCTCTCTTTCGCTCTCTCCCAGCAGCAGCTACACATAGCTTGCAAGACGCTGCTGCTGAGTAATTTATGCACTTGGCCGAAGCCCATCGCTCTCTCTCTCTCTCCTTCCTCGCTTGCTTTGAGCGCAAAGTCGAGAGGTGTGGTGCGTTTGTGGATTCTTTTTTTCTTTCTCTCTTATTTGTCGTCGAAAAGAATACAAACATTGTCGAGTGATTTATCGATGAGCAAGGTCACGAGGTTAAAGAGTTTGTTAAGTGGTGGATGATGAAGTATCGCCAGAAGGCGATGACACTTGAGTTTTTTTCACTTATTGTCGGTTTTTAATTTTTCCACGCAACTTCAGAGATCATTTAATCATTGATGATATCAAGTGATATTTGATCAATTCAATGTTTATTGGTTTTATATCAATATTTTACATTACTGTTTTTAGTGCGAATAAAGCAAAAATAAAAGAATTCATTCTGTTTACCACACGCATACCGGCAGTTTTATCGTTCTTAGCATTATCAATGAAATCGAGGAAACTGCTTACGCTCGTGTAGACCAAAGGAATAACCCTTTCACCGCATAACTATGATACAATTCCCACTACCGTTGAATTGTACACTAGAGGACTACTCTACTGCCTTCTTTCGCATTGAGAAATGCAAAACTATATCAGCAGTTTTAAAACTCTACTCAATCGTTAATGATTATGCAAACATACTCATACTGTAGACTCCACTCTGCCATATTCATGTTTGTAACGTATAGTGTAACAACTAAGTATTTAATTTCTCCAAGATGAGCTAAATCTTCCGAGATAAGTTCCTCGATCAAATAGTTAGTTAGTACTCAAATGAAACCCTTTTCCGTGCATTTCGAGGCGTTATTTTTCAATGGAAAATTATACCGAATTTTAGAAGACGTGATTGTGCAATAACAATTTGCATTGATAAGGAATGGAACGTCAGCAAGAAAATTTTAAAACCTACATAATTTGAGTAATGGGCTGAAATAGTCATACTATTGTGAGTTACAAAAAAAAAAGAGTATTTTAATTTTTTTTTCACGTATAGTGAAACATTGATTTAATCGAATTTAGAACAATCATTTTTGTAGAGCCTTCGTTAATTTTCCACTATTAAAATATTCTGTCGATATGTTCTTTTCAAAGCTTCAACGTTCGATTTTGATATAGTTAATGTCGAATTTGCATTTCAATTACGAACATAAAATAAAAAAATGGCATAATTGCAAAAAAAATGCGCATTCTTCAATACTAAAAATAACTTTGTGTAACATTCGTGGCACTTAAAATTGATAATGATAATCTAAATTACCTTGCGATAATATCTTAATTTTTTTTAGGTATGATCTTCCCGAATTCTTCTCTAATTCTACTGATCTGGTATGAACTTAACATTTGATACTTTTAATTTGATTCACCACACTTCTTCCAATGTCATGGAACAAGATAACCATCTTAATGCAAGCAATTGTAAACTTCCGCATTCCTCGTAAATTACATCTTGACAACTGTGATCTTTTTGAAAAGCTTCGCAGACCAAACGGCGCATCTCTCATCTAGGAATCAGCGTTGTAGCAGTCATAGAGTTAATCCCATGCTCTTCATCACTTGTTCCGCGTTAGACTTTAGGGCTCGCGCAAGGTTATATCAGTCGTCAGCTAAGATGCACACGTTTCCCTTTTTCGTCTTATTCTCAAGAGAAAGCGAAGACAGAATGTTTGATGGCGACAATTACTTAGAGAATCGAACAGATCGCGGTTGAGCGGCTGACGGAATACTGAAATAACGTCACTGACGAATATATATCCTGTAGCTGTAACTGAGCTCCCACTGATTGTTTATAATTGCAACTTGATTTCTTTTTTAGCTAAGATGTAAATCTACTTCAGTGTAATTTTATCTGATATGAAATGAACTCATCATCCCATCTTTTTTATTAGCTTTGAGTAGTAAACTCCAAAATTGAACGAATATGGTACCAACATGCCAAAACTCCAAAGTAACGATGCTGACCGAAAAAGATTATCGAATCGCTTACGATAACTACTATATAAATTCAAAAGTTACAAGATTAAATACACTAAAAAGGGAAGCTCCGTAAATTCGCGCTAAATACTCGTCGAATTGTTTTGCTCTTGCGAGCGGTAATTGTCGTTATTCGTTTTATTCTCTTTCTCTCTCAGCCGGCGGTGGCACGCGTGATGCGTCTCGTTTCTCGTCTCGCGCGCCCATTCAGCGCAGAGTGCGACGAGCCGTGTCTCCAGAATTAACTGCTTACATTCGACGTCGTGCTATAAACTCTCCTCTTGTGGTTGCATATAAACGAGCGAATGAATGAAGTGAAAG